CAATTGGGGAGAGATAAATTCAATAATTAAATATCATATAGTGGGAGCATATACTGTCGCGATACCTGAATACTTTAAAGTCCATTACGTCCAGTCTCCAGACAGTAAAATCCATCAGAATATGCGATCTTCAAATAGCGTAAAAAGTTTCACAAAAGGAAAAACACCCCCCCCCCCCTCCTTTTTTTTTTTTTACTTCTTGCTTTATTATAAAGTCGTCCCCATGTGGGATGCAAGTTTTCATTATTTGAAGCCCCACCCTGGCTTCTGCCAGGTGCTCTGAATATAGCCAGGGCATAAAAATGGCCTAATGGCTGAAAGGGGTTTCTGAGACCTCTCCACGGATGATCCTCATCTGCATTGTGTCACTTTGTGTCACCAGGTGTTATCGCTTGTGTGATGTACTGGTGGGGTACTACTAGAGACAGCCTTCTTGCTTGACATGGAGACTGTCTCTATTCTCTCCCACAATGGCACCCTGGAACCTTAACAAGAAATGCTAACAACAATGGTCTGTTTTCTCTGCTGACCTGAATAAAGTGTAAAATAGTTACTTGCATTGCTATGGAGATGAGGTGTCTGAGAAAGACTGTAGCAGGACCAGAAGAGATACAATCAGGAATGAGTTCATACGAGATAAAGTTGGCACAGAACCAAACAGCAAACCAAATGGTTTGCCCACTTGAAGAGAATGCCTTCTGATGCTATACTATTCAAGGCATTTACTCAAAGAGGAGAGGGATGCAGAGTAAGAAACAGACCAAGAACAAGAAGGAAAGATAACAGAAAAACTCTATAGTACCACGATGTATCTATGGTCAAAGCAGCCAGAAAAGCATAAAGCAGGACCTTAGAGCTCCCTCGCCACCCGAAGTGGCAAAAGAGGACATAAAGAAGATTTTCACTCGATGACATGAGCCAGACTTTTTACCTTTTAATTTCAAGTTGAATGTTGAATTAAGAATCAACATCATAGCACTCCTATAGACGTTCTGTCCCCATCTTCAGCAGCAAGCGTTGAGTTCTAATTCCGACAGTACCAGTAGCTGTCTGATTGTACATCCATCTCACCCTTCCCCCTTATCTATCGGCCAGATCTCCTGTTAACCCCCCCACAGTGCCATTCTTCTCAGACCGTAATGATTTGTCTTTATCTCCTCACTTTTCATTCTCTCAAATAGTCCTTTCAACATCCTGCTTGTCATATTCAAATTTCTAGTTTTAAATGTTAAGTCAGCTGAATAAGGCAAATAATAATGTGGTTTCTCTTAATGGTATCCCATTCCCAAGACGTGGAGTCGTACCCTATTTATGTAATGTAGTATAGCTAAAGATGGGGGACTGAGAGAGAGATTAAAATATGAATACAAAAGACAAGAGCAGCTTTTATAGCACTAAGGAATTTGTGGGGATCAAAGAAATTAAAACTAATACTAAAGTAAAAATCTTTAATTCTAATGTCAAATCAGTACTGTTGTATGGAGCGGAAACATGGACAACTAAGCCATTTACTAATAAACTACAAACATTTATCAACTCATGTCTGCAGAGAAAAGAGGGAGTTACAAAATTGTATGGTAGAATCACTAATGTAGAGCTTTGGGAGAGAACAAAACAAGTTCCAGTGGACCAAGAGGTGAAGAAAAGACACTGGCTGTGGATAGGACACACGTTGAGAAAACCTGAGAGCAATATAAATAGAATGTCTTTGCACTGGAAAGCACAGCAGCATAAAAATAAAGGAAGACCAAATAACAGATGGAGAAGGGAGCCAGACAGTGAAGTTACAAGAAGGATAGGACGTCTTGGCATGAGTTGATTGAGGGCCTATGCTCCATTGGGGATTAGAAAGGCAGAAAAAAAAATAAGGATCTTTTTGTGCCATGGGTCAGCGACACCAAAGTCCAGAGGCGGACAAAAACCCAGAACTTTCTGCCAGAGTTTAGAGCAGGTGAACGTGAAAAAAGAACGAGTGCAAACAGAATTGACCGTCTGCATCCAATCTCTATATGCAGTTTACAGCTTTTATCTGTCATTTATGAGGACCGTCTCATTCGATTTTTTATCATTTCATAATATTCTTTGCATTGTTCTCATAAACCATGTTCAGTTCATAATATCATTAACAATTAATTAACTTCATTAATGCATTTCTATCACCTTAGTTGCTAACATTAACAGTACATACACAACAACAAAAACATGCGAAATTGGACCTCCATACTTCACACTGAGCAATGACAAGACAATAAGGATCCGAACACATTTTTCACATGAATGATACCAATAACTTTATTATCTTCACCACAGCTGCAGTTATTTTAAATGCAGCGATGCTACCATACTCCGCAGGAAGCCAAGAAAATGTAACAAACACATTTGTCCGCCTAATTAACATTATTATTAATAAATGCATTGCCCTGTTGTGCTATTATTTGTCATCCAGGTCTGGCAGTCATCTACAATACCAACATCCATTCCGTTCCATTGCAATCCCTTGGATATCATGGATGGAATCCGGTCCAATATCACTGGCTTCTCTCATCAATGTTTCACAATATTATTACATTTACTGAATTCACAAAATTATTACACTTAGCTCACAAAATCATCTCATTTACTCAATTCAGGAAATCATTACATCTCAATTCACAAAACTCTAACATTTACTCAGTTCACAAAACCCTAACATTTACTCAGTTCACAAACCCTAACATATACTCAGTTCACAAAAACCCTTACTTTTACTCAGCTCACAAAACCCTAACATTTACTCAGTTCACAAAAACCCTAACATTTACTCAGTTCACAAAACCCTAAAATTTACTCAGTTCACAAACCCTAACATTTACTCAGCTCACAAACCCTAACATATACTCAGTTCACAAAACCCTAACATTTACTCAGTTCACAAACCCTAACATATACTCAGTTCACAAAAACCCTAACATTTACTCAGCTCACAAACCCTAACATATACTCAGTTCACAAAACCCTAACATTTACTCAGTTCACAAACCCTAACATATACTCAGTTCACAAACCCTAACATATACTCAGTTCACAAAACCCTAACATTTACTCAGTTCACAAAAACCCTAACATTTACTCAGCTCACAAAACCCTAACATTTACTCAGTTCACAAAAACCCTAACATTTACTCAGCTCACAAAACCCTAACATTTACTCAGTTCACAAAACCCTAACATTTACTCAGTTCACAAACCCTAACATATACTCAGTTCACAAAAACCCTTACTTTTACTCAGTTCACAAAAAACCTAACATTTACTCAGCTCACAAAACCCTAACATTTACTCAGTTCACAAAAACCCTAACATTTACTCAGTTCACAAAAACCCTAACATTTACTTAGTTCACAAAAACCCTAACATTTACTCAGTTCACAAAAACCCTAACATTTACTCAGTTCACAAACCCTAACATATACTCAGTTCACAAAACCCTAACATTTACTCAGTTCACAAAACCCTAACATTTACTCAGTTCACAAAACCCTAACATTTACTCAGTTCACAAAACCCTAACATTTACTCAGTTCACAAAAACCCTTACTTTTACTCAGTTCACAAAACCCTAACATTTACCCAGTTCACAAAAACCCTTACTTTTACTCAGTTCACAAAAACCCTTACTTTTACTCAGTTCACAAAACCCTAACATTTACCCAGTTCACAAAACCCTAACATTTACTCAGTTCACAAAAACCCTAACATTTACTCAGTTCACAAAAACCCTAACATTTACCCAGTTCACAAAACCCTAACATTTACTCAGTTCACAAAACCCTAACATTTACTCAGTTCACAAAACCCTTACATTTACCCAGTTCACAAAAAACCCTAACGTTTACTCAGTTCGCAAAAACCCTAACATTTACTCAGTTCACAAAAACCCTTATATTTACTCAGTTTACAAAAACCCTTACTTTTACTCAGTTCACTAAACCCTTACTTTTACTCAGTTAAAAAAAGCTGCAGTAAATAAGTAAAGAAAAGGGCCCCCTCACTCCCCTTTAGCCCCTCAGGTACTGGTGCTAAATCCACAGACAGCAAAACATTGATTAAGCGTCACCATCCAGACCAGGGCGCAGACGGGTAACCAAATAGACGGATAACCAAATAGACGGATAACAGAAATCTCTTAATACTGTAAAGTATTGTGGTTCCAGCCTGGGCTCAGGACGAAAATGAAATTTTTTAAAAGTAAATCTTCTTCTTCTTCGCGTTCAGCAGCTGTAAACTCTGACGGAAAGTTCCGGTTGTTCGTTCACCTCTGGACTGCAGTCCTGATCCAGAACTTGCATGTGCATCTGTTTGACAGATCTCACTTCCAGAACTTGCGTGTGCATCTGTTTGACAGATCTGACTAATTTGTATGCAGGCTGTTGGTTCCTTGCCTATCAGGCAGATGCACTCCGACTCTGATTCCCAATTAGTCGACTCTTACAACATGCTTTTGGGTAGGCAGTGGGTATATTCTTGTTTTCCCTATAACAGGGCTCTGGAACCCACGAATACATGCATATTTTGTTTAATTTTACAAAAAGATAAATATATAAATTTTAATATAATAGTAGAAATAATACTATAAACTATACTATAGTTTTTAGATGATAACAGTTAACAGACACTGCTGGTCAAATGAGTGAAGGCTAATCAATGTTTTACTGAATTAAGAGACCCCAAGCGGGCTTCAATGGGTGATGTGATCAACATCACACCGGCCACTTTTACTTCCCAGGAAATTTCCTGGTAGCCATTAAAGGCTAGGCCAACCTGACGGCAAGGACAGCCATTACAAGGAAAACTTCATGGCAGCAATAAATAGCCCCACGTTTCACAGGAAACCTGAAAAGATAAGCCCAACCACATCGTCCGCTTTCACAAAACCGTCAACTGTACTCGACACACACCTATCACCGTTGCTGCTGTTGCCACATAATTATTTTTTTTTAAAAAGCTATACTTCCAAAATATTATGCTGGAGTGGTGCCCAGGGGTCGCCCGTATTTGACCTTGTCACCTTCCTGAGCTTTGAACTTGAACCCGCTGGGAGCCTCAAAAATCAGGACTATAGTTGAGCCGAGGTTGAACTCTCCGAACATGTCGCCCTTGTGGAAAGTGGTGGGTTCTGGGAACTTCCTGTCAAAGTATGTGTGTTCTGGGTATTTTCTTTTGGTATTTGTCTCCAAATCCTGGAATAACATGTTCAAATTAATGAAACAAAAGACATAAGTAACAAGATGAACAAATTAATGAAAAAGACATAAGTAACAAGATGAACAAATTAATGAAACTAAAGACATAAGTAACAAGATGAACAAATTAATGAAACAAAAGACATAAATAACAAGAGGAACAAATTAATGAAACAGAAGACATAAGTAACAAGATGAACAAATTAATGAAACAAAAGACACAAGTAACAAGATGAACAAATTAATGAAACAAAAGACATAAGTAACAAGATGAACGAATTAATGAAACAAAAGACATAAGTAACAAGATGAACAAATTAATGAAACTAAAGACATAAGTAACAAGATGAACAAATTAATAACACAAAAGACATAAGTAACAAGATGAACAAATTAATGAAACAAAAGACACAAGTAACAAGATGAACAAATTAATGAAACAAAAGACATAAATAACAAGATGAACAAATTAATGAAACAAAAGACACAAGTAACAAGATGAGCAAATTAATGAAACAAAAGACACAAGTAACAAGATGAACAAATTAATGAAACAAAAGACATAAGTAACAAGATGAACAAATTAATGAAACAAAAGACATAAATAACAAGATAAACAAATTAATGAAACAAAAGACACAAGTAACAAGATGAACAAATTAATGAAACAAAAGACATAAGTAACAAGATGAACAAATTAATGAAACAAAAGACATAAATAACAAGATAAACAAATTAATAACACAAAAGACATAAGTAACAAGATGAACAAATTAATATAACAAAAGACATAAGTAACAAGATGAACAAATTAATGAAACAAAAGACATAAGTAACAAGATGAACAAATTAATGAAACAAAAGACATAAGTAACAAGATGAACAAATTAATAACACAAAAGACATAAGCAACAAGATGAACAAATTAATGAAACAAAAGACATAAATAACAAGATAAACAAATTAATAACACAAAAGACATAAGTAACAAGATGAACAAATTAATAAAACAAAAGACATAAGTAACAAGATGAACAAATTAATGAAACAAAAGACATAAGTAACAAGATGAACAAATTAATGAAACAAAAGAAATACAAATTCATGAAACAACAGATGTTCAAATTCATGAAATAATACAAACAGTACAAAATAATTACATATCTGATGTATAAATTAATTAAGAGAGACATACAAATTCATGAAATCATATGGATACAAACAAGTTAATGACATTACAAATGAACACATTAATGATATAATTCATACATTCATTATCCTGTTGTGCCAATATAGGTAACAGGGCTCACAATCTATTCCTCAATTCTGTTCTATCCTCTGCAATCAATTCAACATCATGTGAGGAATCCAGTCTGGCAGCTTTGGCCTCTCTCATCAACATTCATCATATGGTTTCTTTTGGACATCTTCGCTTACTTAATCCTTTTATTTCCCATTCCAGTGCCTGTTGGGAGATACTCTGCTCGTTTCTTCTCAGGAAGTGTCCAACATCTCTGTCTTATAAATGTTGTTATCAGGGGTTGCCCAGACATTTCTCTTATTTCTCTCAACATCCTGGCACACAGGTGCAGCACATAAGTGCTCTGTTCTATTTCTAACACAAGCCTGAGTCTCAAACATCTCAGCGCAGTGCACGAACTCTGTTGCACCGACGAGGATCATGAAATAATTTGGGTAGATTTTAAACGCCAAATTTTACCCTGTCAGCGCCGTTAGGCTACTCTTTTTTGATTTCCAAATGCTAAGGCATTTTTTTAAACGTGCAGCAATACACACAGACGTCCTGTCTTACTGTCCAGAGACCAGGGAAAATTACTAGAAGTCCATATGAAAAAAATCCCAGCCGTCGCCGGGGACCTCGAGCACTTGAGGCGGATGCCATACCTCAAGACCACTCAGCACTAGGTCACCATCGTCAAGTGCCTTGCCAGCTGGTTTCGGCATTCATGCGTCTCCACAGATCCTGGTCTTTGGTGTTCTGGATCAATTCCCCTGATGCTATTCCCCCACGCCACTGTCTTAAGCCATCCACCATCATTTCTCTTGGTCTGCCTCTGCTTCCAGTGATCTTTCCAGTGGTCTTATATTTTTCCAGTGCTCCTTTCTTTTTTAATGAAGAGGCCTAACTATTTAAGTCTTTGTGTCTCAATGAATGTAACGATGGGCATTGTTCAAATGACAGTTTTTCTAATCTCTATTTCTCACACTATATTTTCTGGTTGTTTTGTTTTCAGCATTTCTTGAGCATCTAATTTGTTGGTCTTTGAGATATTCACTTTGAATTAAAAATTGTATATGTTGAATTAGGAATCGACATCAGAGCACTGGGGACACCCCATTAGCGCTCATTTCCCATCTTCAGCAGCAAACGAAGAGTTCCAATTCCGATGGCACCAGTAAGTCTGGTAACTCCTCGCAGCGCCACTCTCCTCAGCCCGTAATGATCAATTTGTGCCTCTATTTACATGAGGTACAATAAACTGATATAAACAACGACACACACACATATAAAAAAAAAAATCAAAATAAATTATAAACCAAAGAATGGCAAATAAACATAAAGAAAGACAAAACAAATCATAAAGAAAGACAAAATAAATCATCAAGAAAGACAAAACAAATCAGAAAGAAAGACAAAACAAATCATAAAGAAAGGCAAAACAAATCATAAAGAAAGACAAAACAAATCAGAAAGAAAGGCAAAACAAATCATAAAGAAAGGCAAAACAAATCAGAAAGAAAGACAAAACAAATCAGAAAGAAAGACAAAACAAATCATAAAGAAAGACAAAACAAATCAGAAAGAAAGACAAAACAAATCATAAAGAAAGGACAAAACAAATCAGAAAGAAAGACAAAACAAATCATCAAGAAAGACAAAACAAATCATCAAGAAAGACAAAACAAATCAGAAAGAAAGACAAAACAAATCAGAAAGAAAGACAAAACAAATCATAAAGAAAGACAAAACAAATCAGAAAGAAAGACAAAACAAATCATAAAGAAAGGACAAAACAAATCAGAAAGAAAGACAAAACAAATCATCAAGAAAGACAAAACAAATCATCAAGAAAGACAAAACAAATCAGAAAGAAAGACAAAACAAATCATAAAGAAAGACAAAACAAATCAGAAAGAAAGACAAAACAAATCAGAAAGAAAGACAAAACAAATCATAAAGAAAGGACAAAACAAATCATAAAGAAAGGACAAAACAAATCAGAAAGAAAGAAAGAAACCTAAAGAAAAAGAAACAAATAACGATAGTCACCTCATCACAATATATTTTTATAGATCCCACATTGGTGGCACCCACAGCTGTCATGGAGAAGAACCCATGTTGCCAGCGACCCGTATAGACAGCTCTTTCATTGAAGTTGAACAAACCCTGCACCCACCTGGCCACACCTGGACTGACACTCAATAGTTCACCTGGCGAAAGAAATAAGACATAGGGTAGAAACTAGATACAGTATAAACATAATCATATCCAGACCTCCTAAACCTGTGCAAGCGCAAACAGAACCAATGCTATTAACTTAGGTCCAAAGGCATAAAACCTGGAAACGTGCAATTTATAGAACAGGTTAAAAAAAAAAATTACAGCAACTCTGGGCAACAGGGATAACGGATAAAAAGGTATGAACATTCAGATAAAAGGGTATGAACATTTGTCTGACAGTGTTAACTGTCGACAGTTAACTAAATGAGATATGTTGTGGTTAACATCATTAATCACATTATGGGAAGAAGAGAAATCTACTTTCATTTGTTTGAGTGACATAACCGTGTTGTACCTGTTTATATACACCTTTTGACTGACACATCTGACTTCATTAAGCATTTGATGACTGGGTTAACGCCTTGAATAGTTTTGTGGGATACGATGTTGCCTTATTTATATGGTGCTCTCTTTGTCCCTTTATCTACAAGTGTTGTCCCTAGAGGCCCATCCAGAGCAAATGCGTGTAGACAGGTCGGCAGGAGCAGATCATGGGCATTCCTCGCGATCAAAGAAGGCTTTCAAAAATGCAGACCAGACAGATGACGCTCCTTTCCTGTCCTCAGCGAATCGTTCGTTACATCCTGCACATGACTGCTTAAGATCACATCCGTATGTTGAGCTATCCACTCGTCACAGGCTGCATCCACCGGATATCAGCAGGGAGCAGCCGGTGGGTCTGGGACATCAACGAACACATCAACAGGTACATTCTTCTTCACCATGCTAGACACCTTTAACATTGTTTTCATCAGGATACTTAACATTACAGTATAGAAAAGCATGCATCAGGTGTGGCTTCCCCATAGTTGGTCCTGATACTCTGGCAAGTGGGGCACATGGTCACAGACATCTGAAACTTTCTGTCAAAAAGTAGGACTTTTGATGGTCAGACCTTTCAGACTTTTGCAGTTGTGCCACAGGACAGGTTTCTGACAGATATTTGAGCCCAATCAGCAGAATGACACTGATAGATTGCCGCTATGTACCTCAGCACAGTGGCGACGAGGTTTTGTGTCGGCGAAGGACTAGGAAGATGGCATTTTACTGCGAGATACCGCCCACACAGGAGTTGCTCGTCGAAACTGCGAGCTAATCGCTTGGTCAAGCCTGAGTCTCAGCAGTTGTTTTATGTAACAATAATTTTAACCGAGATTCGTCATTTAGCACAGCAAATCTGTAAAATGAATGTTTATGTAAAACTCAAATTCCAGAACAAGAAAGTTTAGAAGTGGAAGAACAGCCAGCATTATCTACCAGAGTTTACAGCCGGTTAACATGGAGAAGATTTGTATACAGACTGTTGGTAACTTGCCCTCAGACTTTGAAGACAACCCATAATTAGTCAATTCTTACAATGTGCTTGCTAGAGAGGCAGTGGGTCTACTGTTTTTGTCTTTTCCCCACAACGGGCAGCCCGAATTCGGGGAGACGAATCGAAAACATAATTGTCGCAGGTACATTGGTGGATGGTGTGAAGAAGGGTGAAGAGTAAACCAAACAACAACAAAAAATCTGGCACAACCAAACAAATGTATCACAAATTATCGGCAGTACACACCACTTGAAGTTGTGCACAAATGCGATTACCAACACAAGGCACGGACTATACAAAGTATCACTTTTCCACAAACTGACAAAACACTCACCTGGGAAGTGCCGTCTGTGCTCTACCGTCCAGGTAGCCGGGGAATGAAACCGGTGGTAATCACCAGGAGCCAGGTAGATTATACAGTGATATAACTGGTTGCCAGGTTGTAAAGAGAGGCTGCTCTGGTAATCTTCATCCGTCTGCTGGCTAGCGTCATGGCCGTGGCTAGGACTATCGGAGGGAAGGGGCCCCAGAAAGCCGCGCAGGGAGTATGTGACACCTTTCACCTGCTCCAGAATGCCATGTTTTACCTGGCCGTGATACAGGATGCGACCATCAGCAGGCGACGTCTGAGGAAGGAAGAATTCCTTACAATGAGTGAGAATTTTTTTTTAACCCTGTCATCCCGAGAAGCAGCAAAACTGACACTTTCAGGTGGATCCTATCCCCAATAAATGTCACTTTTCCGTCTTGCTGTAGTGGCTAATTGACGAACAACTGTTGAGATTTGCGTTCACTGGCCGTAAACCCCGATGGAAAGACCTGGTTTTCCTCTCATTTCTTGACTTTTGTTCCAGGACCTGAGTTTTGCGTGTGCATCTGTATCTGTTTTACAAATCTTGCTTATTGTTTTAAACAGACTGTTGGTTCCTTGCCTATCTCAGGCAGATGCACTCCGACTTTCAAGGAAGCCCCCTGTTAGTAGCTTCCATGACATACTTGTTGGGAAGGAAGTGGAATATGTTCTTGTACTCCCCCCCACAGTGGGGACCCAGAACCAGGAGGAGTTTACACTTGTGGAATGCTAAGAGGAATAAGAAGATGTTCTCGAGAAACATGACTAATATTATGGGTATTGTATGCGTCTGCTCACATATTTAGGAGAAAGGTAATTGATACATGACAAGGCAGATGTGGTCAAGGCCCTTAGGAACAAGCAACAGAATCAGTAGAGATAGAAGATTATTATTGCCTGGAGAGAATGAGGCATCTGGGTGTAACCAGAGGGTCTGGCCGGCTCACTACACTCAGAGAAGAGGCAAGACGGACAAATAATAAAGTGTGACCAGTACAATCAGTGTTGGAACTTTGCGCTGGCTGCTGAAGATGAAGGCGGTACATGCATGGAAATGCCCCGAGTGCTGTTATGTCAATTCTTGACTCACAAGTTTGTTTTATAGGTGCATCATTCGGTTCACAAGAGCTACACTATTCGTTCGGGATTTGTGCAACTCATGGCAAACAGTTAGTTGTTCTGCAGACAGACAGACAGACACAGAGAGAGAGAGAGAGAGAGAGAGAGAGAGAGAGAGAGAGAGAGAGAGAGAGAGAGAGAGAGAGAGAGAGAGAGAGAGAGAGAGAGAGAGAAAGAGAGAGAGAGAGAGAGACAGAGAGAAAAAAGGAGCCAAATGGGATTAAACCTGGTGCAATGAAGCTTCAATAAACTGTCAAACATCTGGAAATCAAAGACACTTAGCAAACACACAAAACTCAAGATCTTCAATTCTTGTGTGATTCCAGTACTAACCTATGGATGCGAGAGCTGGAAATCAACGAAAACTCTAGACACAAAATTAGACAGTTTTGAAAATAAATGCCTTAGAAGAATACTAAATTTCAAATGGTCAGATTTCCGAACCAATACACAAATAAGGCAAGAATCCAGGCAAGAGTATGTGTCTAATTTTATACGAAAACGCCGCTGGAACTATGTCGGCCACGCCCTTAGAATGGATAAATCAAAACTTCCTTACCAAGCCCTCATTTGGACACCACAGGGGAAAAGATCACGTGGAAGACCAAGGGAAACCCTACGTAGAACTATCATCAGGGAAGGCTCGCTCATGGGCCACTCAAACATCCAAGACCTACAACGGATCGCCGTGCATGGAGAGTCATGACCTCTGCCCTATGTGCCGCACTCGACACAAGAGGAAAGACTAACTAACTAATGAAGCTGATCCTCTCAAATTTAAATAAATTTACAGAGGAAAATCAACTCACCACTAGTAAATAATTTCACAGAACAACAAAGATTAATCAAATGGTTCCTTATGTGGGTTCCAGAGCTCCATTGTGGGGACGATAAGAAAAGACTCACTTCCTCCCTCACAGTCGACTAACAGAGGGAGTTTCTTCCAAAATGTCGGAGTACATCTGCCTGAGAGGCAAGAAACCAACAATCTACATACATATATGTCGCATCTGTAAAACGGATGTGCAGGCAACACTCAGATTCAGGAACAAGACTAAAGTCCATAAGTGGACGAACAAGCATAACTTTCCGCTAGAGTTTACATCTAGTAAATGCGAAGAAGAAAATGAATCAAATAGTTTAGTCGTCTAGTCAGAACAGAACAAAATCGGCCAGCAGCTAGAGCATAGTACATGAGAACAACAGACTACAAGGCAAGAGGTCAACCAAGAAAGAGATGGGCGGCTGAAATAAAAAATAATTTTAAAAAAGGCACCACAGAAACACAATATGAAACAAGCTACACAACTAGTAAATGACAAGAAACAAAATCTAACTCCACTCTGTGAAGCTTCACTGCATAGACAGCAGGAAAAAAGACAGGAAACCACATCTAACTAATCCATGTGATGCTTCACTGTATAGACAGTAGGAAAAAAGACAGGAAACTTCATCTAACTAATCCATGTGATGCTTCACTGCATAGACAGTAGGAAAAAAGACAGGAAACCACATCTAACTAATCCATGTGATGCTTCACTGCATAGACAGCAAGACAAAAGACAGGAAACCACATCTAACTAATCCATGTGATGCTTCACTGCATAGACAGTAGGACAAAAGACAGGAAACCACATCTAACTAATCCATGTGATGCTTCACTGCATAGACAGTAGGAAAAAGACAGGAAACCACATCTAACTAATCCATGTGATGCTTCACTGCATAGACAGTAGGACAAAAGACAGGAAACCACATCTAACTAATCCATGTGATGCTTCACTGCATAGACAGTAGGACAAAAGACAGGAAACCACATCTAACTAATCCATGTGATGCTTCACTGCATAGACAGCAAGACAAAAGACAGGAAACCACATCTAACTAATCCATGTGATGCTTCACTGCATAGACAGCAGGAAATAAGACAGGAAACTTCATCTAACTAATCCATGTGATGCTTCACTGCATAGACAGTAGGAAATAAGACAGGAAACCACATCTAACTAATCCATGTGATGCTTCACTGCATAGACAGCAGGAAAAAAGACATGAAACCACATCTAACTAATCCATGTGATGCTTCACTGCATAGACAGCAGGACAAAAGACAGGAAACCACATCTAACTAATCCATGTGATGCTTCACTGCATAGACAGCAGGACAAAAGACAGGAAACTTCATCTAACTAATCCATGTGATGCTTCACTGCATAGACAGTAGGAAAAAAGACAGGAAACCACATCTAACTAATCCATGTGATGCTTCACTGCATAGACAGCAGGACAAAAGACAGGAAACCACTTTTAACTAATCCATGTGATGCTTCACTGCATAGACAGTAGAAAAAAGACAGGAAACCACTTTTAACTAATCCATGTGATGCTTCACTGCATAGACAGTAGAAAAAAGACAGGAAACCACTTTTAACTAATCCATGTGATGCTTCACTGCATAGACAGTAGGAAAAAAGACAGGAAACCACTTCTAAAACTAATCCATGTGGTGCTTCACTGCATAGACAGCAGGGCAAAAGACAGGAAACCACATCTAACTAATCCATGTGATGCTTCACTGCATAGACAGTAGAAAAAAGACAGGAAACCACATCTAACTAATCCATGTGATGCTTCATTGCATAGACAGTAGGAAAAAAGACAGGAAACCACATCTAACTAATCCACGTGATGCTTCACTGCATAGACAGCAGGGCAAAAGACAGGAAACCACATCTAACTAATCCATGTGATGCTTCACTGCATAGACAGTAGGAAAAAAGACAGGAAACCACTTCTAAAACTAATCCATGTGATGCTTCACTGCATAGACAGCAAGATAAAAGACAGGAAACCACATCTAACTAATCCATGTGATGGTTCACTGCATAGACAGTAGGAAAAAAGACAGGAAACCAGTTCTAAAACTAATCCATGTGATGCTTCACTGCATAGACAGCAAGAAAAAAGACAGGAAACTACATCTAACTAATCCATGTGATGCTTCACTGCATAGACAGCAAGACAGAAAGATCAACTCACCAGCTGGTGTTGAATATCTATTGGTCTGACGTGAGGTTTCAACTGTCGCCTGAAGAACTCCCCTAGATTTCTGTACAACTTGAGGTCTTCAATTTCAGCTTCCTGCAGGTCGCAGCCGAACATCCAGATGTAGAGCCCTAGCAGTGGCTTGCGAAGGAAAACTGGCAGCTCCATCTGGTTGAAGCGGCCCCAAAGCCGTGACATTGTTTTTAAAGGCATACGTCGGTACAGTGATATCTGAAAGCAAAAACATGCGTTGGTACAAGTGTATCTAACAGGAGAGACACCGGACACCAGTGATATCTGAAAGCAAAAACATGCGTCAGTACAACAGTATCTAACAGGAGAGGCACAGGACACCAGTGATATCTGAAAGCAACAACATTTCGGTATAATGATAAAAGCAGATATCCTCATCAAAATCCACTCTTACTGATGACAGTCACTGGAGGAACAATGTGTGATCCAGTGCAAGTTGCATAGCTCTGGCTATTGTCAAGCCATGAAGGCATAAAGTGTCTTAAATGCTGTCTATTCATATTTTTTGTGGCTGTCTTTTTGCTCTTGTTGCTGAATCTCTGAGATGTAGTGCCTGTGATAGTATTTTGTGTTGCTGCATTCTAATGAGATGGCTAAACCAGTTGATCTGCTGTTCTTGATGAATCTAGTACAAGGTGTCGTACCCACAGTTTGTCTGATAGTGTCATTAGTCACTTGATTTCAGACGGTTAGTCTGAAGGCATTCCTCTGACATCTTTAATGTTTAATTGAGCATCAACATCATAGCATTTTGGGACACTCCCATATGCGCTCTGAGTCCATCTTCAGCAGCAAGCGCAGAGTTCCAATTCTGATGGTATCAGTAATATCCATCTCACCTTTCTCCTGAGTGGTGAGCGTAAGTCAGACCACCCTTCATTCCTCACCCTCAGACCCTGATGATCCACCTGGCAAGGTTAGTGTAATTTATTTATAGTAAAAAAAAAAAAAAAAAACCATCATTAACTGTAATAAAAGTTAAGATTGAAAGGTTGAATCCGTGTTGGGCCGGTTTCATGGCGCCCAGATCAACCCAGCCTGCTAAATGTTGAATAAAGACATCACTGCACTCAGGACACTTCCATAAGCGCGTTGTCCCCCATCTTCAGCACCAGGTGAAGAATTCCAATGGTACCAGTAACTGTCTGTCCCTATATCCGTCTCACCTGTTCCTTGAGTGTTGAGTCAGCCAGATTCCCTGGTAACTCCTCAAAGCCCCATTCTCTTCAGACCGTAATGATCTGTTTTTTTTCCCTTTGCACAGTTCACTCACCCCCAAAGGGCCCTTATAACACTGAGCTTGCCGTCTATCAATTCACCAAATGGTGCAAAACCAGCCAGTCTATCTGCCTGCTTTCATTCCTCAACATACTGACATAACCATATCCAAAGGACGATAACTACCCTGAAACATCTGAAGCGACGCTTGCCGTCTGCACATTTATGTCTCACATCGGTACAGTGATATGTAAAAACACAGACCTGCAATAGGACAGTGAGATATGAAAGGAGACATAAATCAGAACAATGGTTTCTGAAAGGAACGCAAAGACAAATTTTGGTTCAGTGATATTTGAAAGCAGAGTGCATTTGCCTGAGAGGTGAGAACCAACAGTCTGCACAAACCAAGCCAGATCTGTAAAACGGATACACACACAAAACTCAGGTTCTGGAACCAGATCAAAGTCCAGAAGTGGATAAACAGCCAGGAGTTTACAGCCGGCGACTGCAAGGGAAGGAGGCACATAAAACGCAAATGTCTGGACAACGCTGGTGGAAACAGTTAAAAGACAAAGAAGATGGTAATACTTTGGAGACACTGTAAGAAGAAGTGGACAGAGAATCACTAAACAGGCAATGAAATGGGAAACAGATGGTCTCAAACAAGGAGGTCCAACAAATGGTCTGAGACAAGAAGGTCCAACAGAAACCCTGAGATGAAGGTTGTTGAGGTAGACCAAATATGATGTGATGGACTTGATTCCATCTAATTCCATGTAATTTAAACTCTGGGGATGAGTCCACGTTCGAACCACCCCCCCCCCCCCCCCCCCATGCATACATTGATACAAACTGCCCCTCCCCCTTTCCAGTTGTGTGAGTCCCAAGGTATCCAATGGATAGAATGGAGGTACAGACTATGAGATGTAAGTAACTATGCAAGAGGATGAGGACGATTATGTAAATATCCAACAGGCAAAATAGATGTATTCAGCTTTACATGAGCATAATGACAACGTACTGATTGAACTGATGAGTATGATGAACCGTGTGACTAGAATAAAGCATTCATGTGCAAAAAAGTACGGTACACAAAAACATATTTGATCACTATCATGCATCTAGGGTATGTCAGTCTGTATAGTTTCGTTTATTTAATAATTACTCATTAATTAAGACAACAACCTGTCCAGTATAATGAGAGGAAATGGGACATGAATAAATGAATATTAGAACGAGTGAAGAATCGATAATCACACAGAACGATAAACAATGAGCTTAAAAGAAAAACGGGTATGCATGCACGGAAAACACTTGCAAACTACCTGCATGACAGAAGACAAGGTCATAACTCGCCATAATGGTAGGCATTTTCTTCTTGCTCGCCTCAATCGAAGCAGTTTCTTCTCCGCAAGATTCTTCTTCCCCCACTTGGACAGCTGACCAAGAAGCCGACCCATGGCGTGGCGACCATGCACACGCCGGGCGGCCGGCTCGGCTAACGGATCAATGTTTTCCAACTTTCGCGAATATATCTCACCCCAATGGAAATAATGGCCTTTTAGCGAGAGCAATACGCAGGTATCACAAACTCCCAGATCAGGAAGAAATAAATCCGGCAGTCTATCTGTTGCAACGCAGACAAACCATCCAAAATATCTCTCTTTATATATTCCTAATGAGGGTAATGTATGTGGCCTGGATTCATTAACGATAACTATGTCACAATCTACAAATACTGCTCTGCTCAGCTGCAGATCTGACTGAGTGTATCTTTAAATCCGTCCCAGCGACTAGGATAGTGAATGTGGTGGTACGATAGGTCACGTGTGTGGGAGAATAGCCGTTGTCGGATCCTAACCCGGCAGGCCTCCTCAAGCAGAACACACACGGTAACGGTTGGTAGAACGCCTTCATTTGTGGCGTGTGCTATCCGACCACAAGCGATTATAACCACACGTTTGTGTCAAAGTCCGGCAAAGGATTAAGTCAATTAGGACGTGTGTGTGGGGGCTACATGTCTAAGTATGCGACTCAAGCAAGAGCAGCGCACATCGCCACAATATACCACGCCACTAACTATGACCTCGTGCCCCCTCATTGACCCAGTACACACTCTTATTCAGCCGGCTTCACTTCTGCTGTGCTGCAAGAGCACACAATAGTCCACCTCTCGCCTGGAGTGATAGGTAGGTAGTTCAGTTAATTCTCTTGCAGAGAGCGGCGCCAGAAACCGTAAGCTCCGGTCCTTTGAGCCATCACAATTAAACTAAATGGGCGAAAGAGTTTGGGGGTATTTGTGACAGAGGGCTGGGTCATTTTATTTTAGTTCACCACCCTGCCTCGGAGATTTCGTGAGGGAGTTCAAGGGAAAGTCCAATATGTGGGGGGGGGGGGGGGGGGGGTTTGCCGGTGCTCGTTTAACAACCTAACACCCCTAAAAGATAAAAGTTAAAGAACAGGATCGACTTCACTGCACAGGATTTTACCCCATATGGTTCGGGCTCTCTCTCTCCTGTTGTGTGCACATCCGTTTTACAGATCTGATTTTTGTAATACAGATTGTTGGTTCCTTGTCTCTCAGGCAGATGCCCTCTGACTTCAATGGTAACTAACCCTTAATTAGTCGACTCTTACGACATACTTGTTGGGGAGATAGTGTGTCTATTCTTGTTTTCCCCACAATGGGGCAGTGGAACCCACACGGGAAGTCGTTTGCTATGTCTTCCATTATTAAAAAAAACACTATCAACAGCCGATCATTCAGAGGCAATGGCAAACTACTGAACGTAAAATTGCCCAGTAAACTCACAAAAAGTTGGGGGGAGGGGGGGAGGGTCCTTCGAAACTGTATGACACTAAATGTAATCACCACAAAACACGTTCCGTCTAAAACCCAAAGGTCAAAGTTCTATCATGTGACCATGTCGTATCGGCTCACATTGCTGGTTGGCCACTGGCCAATCCTGATGACACTGTCAACAATCACTATCTAGGGCAGGGTAAACGATAACAATGGAGCTGTGATAATACCAGGGATAGCGATCGGAAAGTTTCTAATCTGCGGGTTCAAGAAATCTGGCCCTGCACCGAATGATATGATAGCACGGAGCTAATGATAAACACACAAGAATCGATGTATTATATATAAGTGTGTGTGTGTGTGTGAGTGTGTGTGTGTGTGTGTGCGCGCGCGTGTGTGTGTGTGTGTGCGAGCGTTGAAGAAGAAGAGGAAGAAGATAAGTCAAGAATGAGAAATGACGTCGCAGCACTAGTGACATTCCCACACGCGCTTCATCTGTATCTTGAGTAACCAGCGGAGAGTTCCAATTGTGATGGTAGCAACAAAGAAGCAGCAGCTGCAGCGGCAGAAGGGCGAGCAGCAGCAACAGGAGGGACATAAAAGTACAACAACCAAAGAGAAACGTTACAGGTTAATCTGGTAATCCTAGTTTCAGCTTCATAGCAAAAGGGGTCACCCCATAGTTGCTCCGCTCCTGTGCCAACGAAAAACACACGTAGCTCACAGTGTCACGCCATGCATTCAACTCAAAAGCTGGGCGACGAAACTATATCCTTCTACAAATGGAGCAAAAATGCAACAGGTTAATATCAAGAAGATAGATATCACTGCGCCGGATTTTACCCCATATAGTTCGGACTGCCTCTCCGACGGACGGAGAGTCGCCTGCCAAAAGCGCCACACACCGCATGAACTGCTTAGCCCCGGCGACAATCCCCCAGGGATCTCAGTATTAATTGCACTCGTGAACTACTTCTTCTTCACGTTTACCAGCTGTACACTCTGGCGGAAAGTTCTGGTTGTTCGTCCACTACTGAACTGCAGTCCTGCTCCAGAACCTGAGTGTTGCGTGTGCATCAGTTTTACAGATCTCATTCTCTTGAATACAGGCTGTTGGTTCCTTGCCTCTCTGGCAGATGCACTCCGACTTCAAAGGAAGCTCCCCAATTAGTCG